AGCCAGCGTACGTGCCCTGGGAGACATCCCGCTGCACGGTGGCACAGCCACGCTGCCCCGGTCCCACGTGCCTGGGGTGGCACCGCAGCACGGGCACCTCACTGACCCCCATCTCTCTCTACCTCGCAGTGACCCGGACCCACAATGTGCTGCGCAAGGCCAGGACGAACCTGGAGGTGAGTTTGCTCTGGCAGCCAGTACGGGACAGGGATGGATGAGCCTGGATGCCCTGGAGATGGGCATGGAGGGCAGACCCTGTGCTGAGAGGCTACCTGGGCGCAGTGTTGGGGACACGCAGGGATCCCTTTTCCTTGTCCGTCCCCAGGGCACAGCAGCCCATGGCAGAGGCCTGCCCTGGCAAGGCTCCCCTGTATTGCCACGTGTGAATTCTCTCACCAGGTGAAGGCCCAGCAGGCCCTGCCCGTTGCATGAACCCCAGGCAGGGCAGGGAGCGATGCCCCCGGATGCGGACAGCCCACTGCCTGCTGAGCTGTCATGTTGGAGCAGACCCTGCTACTGCCACGAGCTGCGGTGGACAGGGGTCTGGGAGAAGCCAGTGCTCCACAGTTAGTGGGTTTGGGCTGCTGTGGTGGTCATGTGCCCTCCACGTGCCTGTGCTTGGCATTGAAGCAGCAGCTGATGGCTTTGGGTTTTGCCTGACCACGCTTCTGTGCTCACCCCTCTTCCACCCATGGTGCTTAGAGTATGGCCTTACAGCCCTCTGTATTGGGCAACTCTTGCCCCAGGACCTGGTCCCACTTGTAACCCTGCTGCACATCTATCCCTGCTTGTGAATGTATGTATATGTATATGTATATAGACAGAGGTATTGGAGCTGCGTTTCAGGGGCTCCCCGGGCATGTCAGGGCCTCAGTGCGGAAGATGTAAGAAATGCCACATTCTGTTCAGGGCCTGGAGCATCCCCAATAAAGGTTTCCTTTGGGTCACAGTGTTTTTGGCATGCCCGTCTTTGCAGCTGTGCTCCCTGCAGCACAGGGTGTTAGGGGCACCAGCTGGCCCTGACGGGGTAGCTGTGAGCCCCACCTCTGCACCCCACTGGATGCTCCCTTCCCAGCCCAGAGCCACCCCGACAACACCAGGCCAGCAGAACCAAGAACAATAAATACTGTAATAAATACATAAAACCCTGTCACATGGCGCTGCTCTGGCAGCAGGCGGTGTAGCCGGGGCCCTGGGGCCCCTGCCTGGCTCCCCTCTCCCCAGGCCCCCCTCCAGCATGGGCACATGCAGGCGTCCCTCTGGCTGGGACAAAGTCCAAGACCTGGGATGGGGCACTCAGTCCTTGCCGGCGCTGTCCCGGTGGCAGATGAGCGCGGTGCGTCCGGCTGTACCCTCCCTCCTGCCAGGGGCTGGGGCTGGGGCCAGAGCACACCTCAGAGCTGGGGAGCGCCGGGAGGGTGCACAGCCCCAGTGCTAGGGCGGAGGGACAGAGGCAGGCCAGCGTGTCCCAGAACCTTAGCGACCAAGCCGGCCTCGGAAGCTCATCACCACGACAGCACAGCAACTTTCAGTAGGTAGGATACAGCCCTGGAGGCCTGGGCAGAAGGGCAGAGCCAGGACCGCCTCGGGGCCCTTGCAGGCTGGAGAAGAAGGGTAGGGTGAAGCCCTTTCCACGCTGGGCGTGAGGAAAGGCTATTCTGGCGAGCAGCAAAGTGGCCCCAGGCTCGCAGAAGCCAAGGAGAACTGTAGGTGGGCGGAAACGAAGGGTTAAATCGAACCACACCAGGAGGGCAGAGCAGTGTCCCAGGCCCCAGTGGCCCTGGGCTCATCTCTAGGCGTGTTCCTGCCAGGTTGGAGGCTGGAGCCAGTGGTGAGCTCTCACACAGTCCGGTGGCCCAGTGTGTGCAGACGAAGCGGCGTTTGGTGTCCTGCGTGGGGGGTGGCGGGCGAGGCCCTGGCTCAGATGGGCTTGTACAGCAGCGTGGTGACGTACTTCTTCTTGTAGCGGTGCGTGGCGCTGAGCACCATCACGCCGTCCTGCGAGGGGCACGGCCTTGGCCTCAGCGGGGGCGGGCGCGAGCTCAGCCGGCCTGGCTGCCCCCGCCCCCCAGGCTCAGGAAGCAGCCCCGGCCTGGCCCCCCAGGGCTGCTCAGCATCACTGCGCTGCTGGGAGGCAGCCGAGGGGAAGCGTAAGGACACCACAGCCTACACCCCTGTGCATGCCACGCTGTCCTCGCGTGGGCCCACCCATCCCGGCACCACCGCCTACACCTCACCTGCTTCCTGCAGGTGCCACAGCAGCTCCCCTTCCCTCACCCAGCGGCCTGGCGGGACCTGCAGCCCTTACCTTAATGGACAGCGCATAGAGGTGATTGAGCATGACGTGGTTGGGTTCAGGCAGCAGCGCCGGGTCACACTAGGAGAAGAGGAGTGTCACAGGGAACAGCAGAGCCCTGAAGCCCCAGCCCCCACAGGGTGCTGCCACCTCAGGCACTCTGAGCTGCTGGTGCCACAGGCTGTTCTGAACAGGAACGGAGTTCAGCTAAATACCAGGCAGAGTAAGAGGCCAAACCAGTGTGGTTGGCTACTGGGAAAAGGGATGCTCTTCCCAGGAAATGCTGAGGGGAGACAGGACTCCCCTTCCAACCCAGCGTGGCTCTCTGTATGCAGGCAGTATGCTGGTACCCACCGAGATATTGGTGTCCTTGTTCAGGATGACCTGGAGGAGGTGAGGTGGAAGGATGGGTGGGGATTTGAAGCGCTCCTCAGGCCGGTATACGTACATCTCTTGGCCATAAGGACCAGGTGGTGAGCTTGACAAGTCTAAACAGAAGAGAAAGGAGACATGAAATGGCTAAAGCACAACTGGCAAGCACAGAGCAACTCCCAAGAAGCTAAGAAGGACCCAGCAGGGTCTTTCAAGGCACAAACATCTTCCATGAGCCACAGCCATATGCCATCCTCTAGCGACAGCCCAGCCTTTTCACAGTGGAGTAAGCAGCCAGGCGAGCCCTGGCCATTTCCAAGCAGGGCCATAAGCTGGTACATGCACTGACACCACACAAGCACCCTGTGGCGTGCACCCCAAGACCCTTGCACACAGCTCTCAGCACAGCGGGATCCCTCTCCTGGTAGCAAGTACCCTTGGCACCAGGGTCACAGCCAGCAGCACACAGCACGCTCACAGTGCTGCAGGGCTGCCTGATGAGGAGGTCCCAGAAAGGGTAAATGGGAAGTCTAGACTGAGCAGCTGCTCAGCCCATGCGAGGTACCATGATAGCTTGTGGTCGCTGGAAGCTGGACCGGCCATATCTCCCGGCCACATCTGACCTGAACGACCAGTACCCAAAAGGGCTCGACCTCCCTGGAGCTGCTGCTGCTTGCTCGCTTCTTTTCAATGCAGTATCTCCTGCTCAGGCCAAGCAAGGACACGGAGCTGAGCTCTGACTAAGATGGGGTTTGTACTAGGGACAGCAGGCCACATTCAGAGCACCCTGGACTGAAGCACGACTGAGCTACCTGCCAGCATCACACCCTGAGCCAGCACTGCTGGCATCTGTGTAGTAACCTAACCAGCTGCTGTAACGCGAGCGGAGAGGGAGGTTTCCGATGTGCCAGGACTAGTACAAATTACCTTGGCATGAAAACTAAAAGTAGCTGCTGAAAATAACCCGGATCCTGCTCTCGCCTAGCTTGTACCTCGGGTCGGATGACTTACTCACAGCTGAGCAGATAGAAAAGGCTGATGTTCCAGGTGCTCACCAGTCTGAAACAGCTGCCCCGGCCACATGCAGCCACGGACCCTGCTCTGGGACAGTGCTAGCACAGAAGAAGTTACACACCAGCACAGCCCCTCCACAAAGACGAGGCCTCAGCTGTGGGGCTGCTGAGGACATCCTGCCAAACTCTACTCTTCCCGGGCGCAGGCCTGCAACTGCTCACGAGGTCTGTTCACCCCCAGAGCAGTGAGTCTCAGGGCAGAGGGGGTGGAGAAGAGCACATGCAAAGCTGTAATGCCACAAAAACTCACCCCGACCTGAGGTTTCTGAGCTCTCCAGGGAATCCACCTTCAAAGCATCGAACACCTCAAAGTCTGACTTCTTGACGTGAATCAGGTTGTTAATCGTCCCCATCTGGCTGGTGACCACAGGCTGGAGAGAACTAAGGTAAGAGTCTTCCTGTGTTCACCTCCAGCCAAAGCATGCTCTGTGCTTCACAGATCCCTCCTGGCCCCAGTTGTCTTTTCTGCACCATTGCCCCAGAGCACAAGTGGCCACCATCTAGCTCTGCTCTACATTTGCAGATCTCGGCTGTTTACTCTGAGAGGATTTTACCTTTACTCCCAGGCTCCTACACCACCTATTTTCATCCTCCATCCTGCTACATGCTAATAGGTAAGGGACCACCCCTTCCCATGCTGCTACCATGTGGTTCAGTCTGGAGAAGGATCAAGTGAGTGCTGACCCCATAGCCATCTTCCCCTGTAGCCAATTCTCAACGGGACTTGAAGGCCTTCTGGTGTTTCCCCCGACCTTTACCTCCTAGACACTCCCCCATACAGCATGTCTAAGCCCAGAGGACCCAGCCTCTGAAAGAACTCGTGGGATGGAGCTGCCCTTTTCATTTTGTTAGGTAGCCTCCACCCTTCCCGTTCCCCCTCTGCTGCAGTTATGTCATGCCTAGTCCCCTGAAGACAAGATCTGCAGGGATTATGCTTTGAGTGTTACCTCAGAAGGGTCATGGACCCATTGGCCATCCACAAAAAACTTGTATTGGTGTTCTCCTTCTGGGAGGTCCAGGATAGCAACAAAGTCGTTGTGGCTGTACAGAGAGAACAGACATGTGACAGCATTACCTTGTTGATGGCCTGGATGCTGCTCTTCCATAAGGTCCCAGAAAACAGCACTTTTTCCATATGCTGCTCAGCCCCTCTACCCCAACATCTGAGACACAGACACAACAGGCGTGACCATTCAGAGCACTAGTGTGGCTCAAACCCTGATAACTCCAGCTGCAAGGAGCAGAGGAGGCAGTCCAGCTCTGTGTGCCCAGGGAAAGTCACAGAATCACAGACTGGTAGGGTTTGGAAGGGACCTCTGGAGATCACCTAGTCCAATCCCCCTGTTAAAGCAGATTCACCTAGGCCAGGTTTCACAGGACTGTGTCCAGGTGGGTTTTGAAAGCTCCAAGAGGAGACTCCACAACCTCTCCAGGAAGCCTGTTCCAGGGCTCTGGCACCCTGAAGGAAGTTTTTCAGTATGTTTAGGTGGAAATTCCTGTGTTCCAGTTTGTGCCCATTAAAGCTGATGTGACGGGTACCCCGTGGAAGACGCACTGGGGAGGACACGTGGGAAAAGCATCTAACCCTGTGCTGGCACTGCAGGATGGGGGCAGCAAGTGTAGGAGCTCTGTTTGTGAAGCCTGCAGTTGAGATAAAGCCATACCAGATGATTTGCTGGGATTTCCATATGCTGCTCAGCCCCTCTACCCCAACATCTGAGACACAGACACAACAGGCGTGACCATTCAGAGCACTAGTGTGGCTCAAACCCTGATAACTCCAGCTGCAAGGAGCAGAGGAGGCAGTCCAGCTCTGTGTGCCCAGGGAAAGTCACAGAATCACAGACTGGTAGGGTTTGGAAGGGACCTCTGGAGATCACCTAGTCCAATCCCCCTGTTAAAGCAGATTCACCTAGGCCAGGTTTCACAGGACTGTGTCCAGGTGGGTTTTGAAAGCTCCAAGAGGAGACTCCACAACCTCTCCAGGAAGCCTGTTCCAGGGCTCTGGCACCCTGAAGGAAGTTTTTCAGTATGTTTAGGTGGAAATTCCTGTGTTCCAGTTTGTGCCCATTAAAGCTGATGTGACGGGTACCCCGTGGAAGACGCACTGGGGAGGACACGTGGGAAAAGCATCTAACCCTGTGCTGGCACTGCAGGATGGGGGCAGCAAGTGTAGGAGCTCTGTTTGTGAAGCCTGCAGTTGAGATAAAGCCATACCAGATGATTTGCTGGGATTATGCCCAGGGTCCTACACAGTCGTGCTGCAAAAATTACAGATGTATTGTGGAGCAGTGAGAACGTCATTAGGGCAAGAAGACATGTAAGGGACAAAGAACCTCTACTGGCAACAACACAACTAGGCATGGGGTAAGGCCACAGCCAAGAGAAGAGCTGACAGCTTTCAGAGGACTATCGTGTACCTGCTCAGGGCTCTGCTGCCAGGACTAGCTGCTGCACGACACCCAGCCATGCAAACAAAGTGGCCCATCCTGTCCAGTCCCTCTGTTTCACAATTTCCCACTGCAGCACCACCCAGGGAGAACGGTGACTATGTATCTTGTGCTCAGGCCCTCCAGCTTGGCTGGCCTGGGAAAAGTCAGGTGAGCAAAGGGAACAACAGCCAGCACAGAGAAGGGAACACATGCCCTGCAACAGAGCAGAGAACAGAGACTAAGAGCAATCTGAGGGGACTGGTCACCTTTTGATGAGTGGGATCTTGGTGCTCCAGTTGTTGAAAGATCCGGAGATGAAGACCTCTTTGCCTCCATCAGCCCAGCGGATAACAGTGGGACGAGCCTGTTGGGATGGCTTCACTGACTCCTCTAGATCTGGCTGCCACGACACAAACTCCTTGTCCCCAGGAATCTGAGCAAAGGAAACCAGAGCCTGACTGAGACGAAGAGACAACTGGGACCACATTCACTTCCCCATGGCCTCTACCAACCCACGGGCACAGCCCAGATGAGAGCATTGCAGAGCTCCTCCAGCCTCCCAGCTCTCCACAGACCCCTTGGATGGTTGGGGGCACAGCCCTGCACAGCTGGTGAGCTGAAGGCCCAACCAGGGCCCCAGAAAGCAGGAGAGGGAAGGCAGCAGCCGGCCCCTACCTTGGAGTCATGGGAGCTGAAAACATTGGGGTCATCGGTGCTGCCCACCATGATCTTGTGTGGGTGCTCCTTGGTGGGGTGGGGAGCACTGGAGCCATCGGAGCGGTGGGACTTGGAGCCATGGCGCTCCCCTGACACTCGCTCACTGGTGGTGTTCCCCATGACAGCTCAGCAGCCCCTGTGTGAGAGAGGACAGCAGTGTGCCCATGCCCATAGGTTCCAGCAGTGAGGAGAGGAGCGAAGGCACCATTTCCCAGTGCCCTTTGCCAGGGCAGACAGACAGCAATCCTAAAAAAGGCCCAAAATTCATTCCCACTGCCATATTAAGGAGGTGAATGTGAATTTAGCAACAAGACAGCTTGACCTAATTATAGCCACATCCTCATGAACCACAACTCTAGTTAAACCGGTAACTGTTACACTCTGAAACTGGTACTAGTTAGGCTGTGTCCCACAAAAGCCTTCGGCAGGCAGCACAGTGGGGGGCTGATGGAACAAATAAAGCCAACCTTTACTGGCAAATCAGTTGCTTGGCATTAGCAGACCCTCTTCCACAGTCTCACAGTCAGGCTTTACAAACGAACCCTCTACAGCCAGCAAGAAAACAGCCGGAGAGTGAAAGCAGCAGCTGTTTAACAGTTCCCAGCAAGCCTCCAAGAGCTCACAGGCAGAAGAGCGGAGCCCTCTGCCTGGCAAAAGTGAGAGGGAGCATTTAAAGTGTCTGAGTGGAATTGTCCAAGCTGGAGCTTGGCCAAGGTGTGGGGCTGATGCCGTGGCATCTGCAAAACACTCAGCTCTCGACGACATGCACTTATGATTCACCAGACAAGCTGTCACGCCAGCTGTGGCGCAGCACAGCAAGGGAGATGGTCCGCTTGCTGTGACCCTAACCAGCGGCACCACCCCGGGCACGCTGGTGTCTGCCCGGCCTCTGGAGGCACACGCCGAGGGGAGGGCAATTCCAGCTGTCTCAGCTCCACTCTGCAGCTGGAGATGGGCCACTGACCCTGACCTCACCCAGCAAAACGGCACCAAGCTGTGAACACACATACACACACACCTCTCAGGACAAATCAAGCCGCCACAAGCTACATGGGATTCTTCAGGCCTTACCCAGTTTCCAGAAGCCAAGATGGATTGGGGTTCCTGCCCCCTCTCCAGGCTTATTTTGCAGCTTTCAGCTTACCACACTGACCTGAGGGGCAAAGCAAGAGGACAGCCAGTCTCGCTTCATATGCTTAGTTGAGACAGGTGGGGATTTGTTTAGAAGATCAAGTTATAATGAAGGGTGCCAGGCAAGGCTGCCAGCCAAAGCCAGGCTTTAGAACATCATGGAGCAATTACTAAAGTATTTCTTAAATCCTGAGGCTAAAAGGCAGCTCAAGAGGGCAACTAACCTCACGCCCTCTCAGTGAGGATCAAGTGTGAAGATCCAGGTCAGATGAGCTTGCTCAGGTCAGCCCGCTTTGACATCTTCCCCTTGTACCTTAGAGAAGGCTCAGCTAGCTCCTCACAAAACCTGCCCCTGTGCCACTAGACTTGCTGTTGAGCTTCTTCCTCAGTATCTCTGCTAAGGCTCCTTTACTTATCTATGGGGATGAAGGCAGGACAAGCTGATCATCCTCTTCTACCAAGGCAAACTTGGGAGACACATGCAGGTGTTAATAAATGGGAGAGTTTCCCTTTCTCTTTTCTAAAAGCAACCCAGTACCTCTGGCTGTCCCTTAAAGGTCCCTCCTCTTTTCAGACAAGCCCTCACGGCACAGCATGCTGTGAAGGTGCGACACAAGTACCTCCAAGTCGCTGATGGAAACGCTGCCCGTGCCAAAGCCCCAGCAAAGCTCCGCAGCGTCTCAGCCCGTCCTCT